TTAATGCATGATGCCGGTCGTAAGCTTAAAGTGTTTGCTTGGAATTTACGTAAAGGCTTGGACCAAAGTAAGCGCATCTGTAGAATCGGAATTAGAATGAAAATAAAATGTAAATCGCTATGAATAAAAATAAAAATTATGATGGTAAAACTACCGAAGAGATAAAAGGGTGGAACTTCGGGTGAAGATAAGAGTTTAACGATGCAGGTGATACAAGGAGTTTACAGTGGAGCAATCGCCAGCGATTTTCTAAATCAGTTTCATTAACTCCTCCTCAGGGGGGGTGGGGGTGGAAGTGCTCCAGCTGCAGAGGAGAAGAAGAAGAAGCCAGCTATTACGGAAAAGTTCGTAATGAATCGTCAGAGCGCTAGAAATGTGCTCCCCGGAGTTGTACGTGTAGCTGGCGAGACTTTGACAAAATCACCACTTTAGATTTCGAGTTTCGCGCTGTAAGCGTCATATTGCTGCTGCGCTTTTCTCGGCTGACCCTTTTTTTTTTTTTCTTTTATACCTACCCTTCATTTCTCCGTCTCCCGATACGTGCCTCTATACGCTGTGGCTGTGTGTGGCCGACAACGCCGCTTAACTTCTCGTTCGCGGTAAAAACTTTGGTTCGGAGTTTCATGCCACCAGCCGACGCCCTCGTGCAGCAACGCGTCGTCGTTGTCGCGGTCTTGGGTGTGTCGACCAATTTCTCGCTGGCAGCATCGAGATCCTTAGGGATTTCGTTCAACTTTTGAAGAGACTTTTTTTCCGTAAAGGACATTTCAGAGGGAGATGTAATAATATCGGTAGTTTTAAAATTATGCCGTGGAAGGGTATTTTTTTTTGGAAATTTTATATTGTGCATGCCTACCGCGAATCAAAAAATTATGCGACTTTAAAATTAAGCACTGTGGATTCAAAATGAATATTCATAATCCAATAAAGTACCAGGATAAAGATCCCTGAATAAAAAAAAAAAAAAAACATATGTTCCACTTACCTCTACACTTGATTAAAAATTATATGTTTCACCTATTAACAATACATACGTGTGTGTAGTTGCAAACCGTACAATACATTATTTCTAATGTTCATTACCATGAATAATCCTAAGTTGTACTATTTTGTTGGTTGCCTCTATTCAATTACGTTTTCTCGTTATCCGTACTAATTTGGTATACACGTTGAAATTGTGTTTCGTACCTATATAGTCCGCGTTACCCGGTATGTAGATTTTGCATCTGAAATTTAATTGTTTTCGGTCAGAGTAATATTTCACTAGATTTATTGTTTCTTTCATTAAAAAATGGTACATCTAAACTTCATACCACATCAAAATCAAGCTCAAATTGTTTCTCATATAAAAGCTTTGCAAATATAATTGTCAGAAATGAAACCCAACGAAATTCGTAGCTGTTGATTAACATCGGTCATACAAAATTCATACTGACATAATAAACCCAAAATCATACGTCCAGTACGTAAGCTTTTGTACATATTATTGCAGGAAAAAAAACTTGATACATATGAAAGAATTCCAGGAAATAGAAATCGCTCGAGCTGTTTTCTCTGCGCGATTGTTCAGCTCAGTTCTCGCTTTAAGAAGAAAAGGTGTCGAGGAACACCAGAGCGGGAAATAAACTGGGCAAGTCCATTGAGCTTTCCTCCCTTTTCTTCTCCTCCAACTCGGCTCTTTATACACCTCGTGTGGCATATACCTACCCCCTCCCACACACACACACTGCACATACACGGGCGTAGACACGTACGTGCACGAAGTTGGTAATCGATAAAATCAGGCTGTAGAGCTTTTCGACGCATCGTTTTGTATGTGTGTGTATCACGCCATCGTCGATATGTGAATCACGTCTGGAATTTCGAGCTTTCTCTGTTTCTCTTGCGGCAGCGGTTCTGGTACCAAGTACTTAACTATGCCTTGCACACCCGCTGCATTTAGGCTCTGCACGTGTGCATAAATGTTTTGCCGTTTTTAAGCTTTCGCGTGCACCGTGCACGTACATGTTCATCTTTTATTTCATTTTATTTTATTACTTTTTTTTTTTTTCACTTCCTCTAGAATACATGAAAAATAATCTTATTCCCGTACCAAATTGAATTGTTGCATTTTTCATTTCAGACATAGAGGACTGATGCACGAAAAGATGGAAACGCGTTTATTCGTCATGGAAATGTTAAACAGGATAAGAAAAAGTCGCTGAAATTATTCACACTTTATTTCGTGAAGTTAATATAGCCGTATATGATAGACCGCAGCTCTTAATCACTAAATTCTTGCTATGGTCAGCTTCTTTTCCATCAATTTATTTTTCCAGCTAAATAACCTCACACTTTTTTTTTTTTACAAAATATCAAGCATTAAATTTTAATAATCGTTATAATTTGATAAACAACTTATACGCAAGAATGAACTTTGTCGCTATATTTAATAAAAAATCTGGAAAAATATAAGTTGCGTTACGAAGGAAAAAAAATGTAATGGGTTGGATAGAATAAATAAGACCTTGTGTGCAAAACAGACAAAACGCTCATTCTTTTATTTTTATATCATTTTAAAGGTAATTATATTACACAGTTCACATACTCACGCACTTTGTTTTATATACCTCTTTCTCTCTCTCCAGCTTATTCTTTCGTGCTTCAAATCTTAACATGTGTGACGTCGAATTACGGGAATAAAGGAAAACGATATCTTACCGCAATAAACGTCCATCTATGCATATGTATATATATATATATATATTTTTTATTTCGTTAATTTATTTTAAGACTCTATCGAGCCTATTTACAATAAAATTTTTGTACAAAAAACTAATAATCTTATACAAACAGTAAAAGTACGCACGTAAATCATCACTCTTCTTACTATACTTTGTGTTGAGCTGAACAGAGACGTAAACAAAATTTAGTTCGCTTATTCATATTGTATGGTAACGCAAACGATGCTTTTACTTCAGAACAAACTTTGTCTGATTGAACCCATCGTGAAACAACAATAGCAATGATTACCGGTAGCGCAGTAAAATTACGTATACTTTCGGAACATATTGCTAATACTTTCCTTCGTAAACATATATGTCTCGTGGAGGAACGGCATCGAAAGATAGACAAAGAGTAGTGGATGGGGGGGGGGGGGCGATAACTTTCGTCTAAAACCTATGAATTTCGTTTCGGGCCACACATGTGCACGGCAGTGTATTTATGCACGCGTATATATTTACAGGAGCCGCGCGTTGCAACTGTGCATAAATAAGTTCGGGGCAAAATGTATGGTACTCCCCCTGACCTACCCCACATGGCGTAAAAAGAGCGTGAGAGGGGAGGGGGTTAAAAAAATAGGATCAAGAATATATGTAGGAGGGACAGAGAGTTATAGGGCGAGGGGAGGGTAGGCGATTTCTAGGAAAATGTACACCACCGGTATTTTTCCGCAAATTGTTTTCGCTCGGGGGCTATCGCGCGACTACAGCGGGCCACGCATCGCTAAACTGCGCTGGGCTCCCCTCCCGCTTATGCCAAGCTTCTGTTCCTTCGATCGCGCGTGTGCCGATGCAGCATCGTCCGGAGCTTATTGTTTTCACTGCTGAACTGCACTTGGATTTTGAACGCGCGAGTGGCAAAGTCCTGATGGCCTACATGCGGGAGCTGCAATTATCTGACCGGCTGCCGTTCAAATTATAAGCAAACAAACGACGAGCCAGGGATTTTTTTCTTTTGATTCTCATTAGGCAATCGATGCAAATAACGATTGTTTTGCTCGAAAAGAAATCAGAAAAATAAAAAATTTGTTTAAAAAGAACTCCGTGGTGGGTCGGGGCAACTCCAGCCGCACGGAAGGATCTGACCCGATTCCGAGCCGATAGAATCAAATCGGGAGAGCAAAGAGAAAAATCGGACGTTTTCATCAATGTATGATACAGTATACACACATACACACAGCGCGGTCAGTCCGAGGGATGATTCGTTGGAGATTTCGCGGGCTAATGCACGCCCGTGCAATTTCTCTCTTGTCATCGGGTGTATACGGGCACGCGACTGCAGCACTCGTCCTCGTTGTCGTCCCTGATGTTGTCAGAGGGTCGTGTAGAGGGGGTGGGTCGGGGCAAGTCAACACCGCACCACGGGGCTGAAAGAGTCCGGTGATTGAATGTAGCGCTATACGTGAACTACGGCCTCTCCCGCTCGCTCTATCCGTCTCTGTGTGTGGCTTTTCAATGCCGAACCCGTAAATACGATCGGGGCAGGAAAAAAAAAAAAAACCACACCTATACCCACGTCTCAGCGCGCCTGTGCATGTCCACCCTCCATTTCCTCCCCCCCCCCCCATGTATGTATGTGCGCGCTACTGTTGGGGGTAGGCTGGTGTGCTCTCGCTTTTTCTTTCGGCTCTCGTTGGTCTGTCCGCCTGGACGTGGAAATGGATGGGTGTTTGCGTCTCTGACCTGTGTGTGTGTGTGTTTTGCGTTAATTGAACGAGCTGAAAAATCAGAAGATAAATCCGTGGCTCCCACCCACCCCGACCCTGCCCTACTTTTCTTTTTTCTTGGGAGTCTGTTGGTTGTCAGCCATACCGTTTGAAACATTGATTAGTTGAACATGTGCGGACTGGAGTATGGATCTGTCGATGGTGTACTCGTCTAAAAGTATACGTCAAAGCTTTGCTCGGCATCCAAATTAACGTACGAATAAAAAAAGTCTCTGTTCAGCTCTCAACGATGCTAATACTCCTCCCGCGACTTTTTTCGTCTTGTATAATCTCTAGCTTCGTAAATGTTGTTTTTGCTCTCTCTCTCTCTCGTTAAACTTTTGTACAGGTGAACTATCAAATGAGCTCGTGTTGATTAGCTTGAAAATACAATGTTAGTCACACTGATAACGAACGACGTACGTCTGTTTTGATTTTAACGCGCGTCCAACACTCGATCGTTTGTCTCTTTTTTTCTTTCTTTTTTTCTTTTTTTTTTTTTCTAAATTATAACATTGATAAATTTATGTCTCAAACAATCGCTTCCCTTTTTTTTCTAGCAAATATAAACAATCTCCGTATGGAAGATACAATTTTTTCGATCCAACGTATACTCTTTCACTCCCGTTGGCAATGACACGGCTGTTGGATACATAAACATTTAATAAAAATTCATTAAAAACTCAACTAAACAGCGATCGATCGATTGATTATCGGAACATCAGTCGTTAGTAGAAATAGTTTTGGAATTGGAAATTTTTTCAAAAATGTATCGGAAGAAAAATTGGTTGAAATATTCAATTAACTATTAATAGAAATCAGCGATAAATGGACAAGTTGAATAGGCAGTCGTCTGCCACTTTATTTCTCCGATCCAACAATCTGACGTATCGAGCGATGCGTGACTCCTCCCGTATAGTTTGTGGCACACCAATCATCGCAATTATGGGAATCATTCATCTAACCACTCTTTCACACACACACACACACACGTACTCTGGCATACTCACTTTGCACTGACAAGAGCTACAGTGTCACGCCGCAAATATTGTAGTCCATATTTTCCTGTATGGACGATTCAAAGGTACGCTCAGTCCGGGCAGCTGGTATCTCGCTTTTTATATACAACTTTCCTGAATCTGGTTGGCCCTCCGGGTGACGACTTCGGGTCGATGGATCTTGCCGTCGGCGGATATCGACGAAGGAACCGGCCTGATGTGGGGTATCGTCGGTAAGCCGGTGTTTGGCCTCTGTAGACTGTAATATACCTGTGGAACGATCGATAAACAAAACAGGATGTAACCACGTATAAAAACGCCATTTCCATGTATACGTATGCATTTTTCAGACTACTCTTTGTGGAAAACTTTTTTTTCACAAGAAAAAAAGAATTACTATAATCATGATTATTTAATTATTCACAATAAAGTAATAATATGAAGTTCCATAACCCCGAATCATAAAAATTTTTGCACATACGATCAGAAATGGCACTGATGGATTAGTAATTTGCGGACAATATCGAAAACCGCAAAAAATCACCACGTCCAATCTCCGTGTGGTAACACCGGAGTTCACTCGGATCAGCAATTAATCAGCGTGAAATTAATACGATCGTTATGGTAAGGACGAAGAAACCAGATCATACGGCACGGAGATGGGGATGAAAGCGATACCCACTGAGAGATTGGATCAGGGTATAAAAAAAAGCCCGGAATATTCTTCTTGGCTCATTCCTGCGTAGCGAAGAAACCAAAGTTCCGCGGGAAGGAGCCGAGCGCGAAAACTACCCGCTGACGGAGAGTACATATACACCTTGAGGAGGATAAAACCGGCCTCCCGAATTATCGAGAAAACTTCGGAGGTAATTAAACTTGCGAAAGTGCAGATAAACCCCGAGGGCCTCTGTATACACGTACCATGTATATATATATATATATATTTTTTATTTCGTTAATTTATTTTAAGACTCTATCGAGCCTATTTACAATAAAATTTTTGTACAAAAAACTAATAATCTTATACAAACAGTAAAAGTACGCACGTAAATCATCACTCTTCTTACTATACTTTGTGTTGANGGGAACAAAAATTCAAGCATCAGGGACAGAACGAATGAAACGTCAAACCGATGGAAAAGTACGGCGAGCAGAGCATATATATATACGTGCACACAACGAAAGGAGGAAAGTTTAAGTGGATGACTCATCGTCCCCCTTCGCTCTTAATAACCTCGATTGAGCGATCGTTTACTCTATAGAGCCTTTCGTTTGTCCGTTCGGGGTGTATCGCCCGGAAATTAAAATATCCAACCCTCAAAAGCCCCATCACCCCTATACCCATGATCTTGATAAAGCTCACAAGTATAATAATAATAATAATAATAATAATAATAATAATAATATTGATTGATAGTGGTTGGTGTCTCACATTTTGGTTGTGGTTGCGCTGGTAGGCGTTGAAGGCCATCTGCTTGAAGTCGTCGATAGTGGGCGAGTTGGTGTACCCGGCGAGTTGGGCCAAGCCGGGCTTGTTGTAAAAGTGGTTCGGGGCGACGTAGGTCCGGGCCGACAGCGGCTCGTTCATCAGGTCGGCCTCGCCCAGGGCCCCGCTGACCCCCGCGTGCTGCAGCTCGAGGTTCGAGCGCTGCACCATCGGCTTCATTTCCGGTGACGAGCTCGGCTCGTCCGAGGGGCTGGCAACGCTTCCGTTGTTGTTAGCTCGAGCCCGTCGCCTCTGGGGTGGCGTCTTGTACTGCACCGGGGCGCTCGTCAGGGGTCTTCTCTCTGCCAATCCACACACGAGGCTCGGTATACTTTCAGAGAGAGAGAGAGAGAGAGAAGCCCTGTTCGGGGAGCTTAAGCCGCTGCTATTGTGCGTTACTCTAAGTCGATTAAGACGCGAGAACCCTTTTTCGTTCGTATGGGCGCCCCACCAACATCATAGGCTCCACGACATTTGCCGCGTGAAAAACCATTTTTTTTTTTTTTTTTTTTTTCGGTACCCGAGGTTTTTTGTTTTCCCCTCCGGTGCCATATATCGCCGGAGCTGTCAATGTTTTCAATTTCGATTCTCAAGCAAAGAAATACGCTCGAGCGGGAGAGGTGGAAAAAAAAATGCCTCGGATGGGCACTATTTTTTCAATGAATAGCCGCGCGCACGTTGACACCGAAATATATTTCACGTCCCGGTTCCATTCACGTCGGCCCATCGATGATTTGTGGGGGGGGGGGGTCCCGGAAAAATTCGCCAAACGAAAGAACAAAAAACCCGCGCCTCCATTCGTAAAACCTCAGCGGCGACTTAACAAAGCTACGGAAAAACAAAGGGCACCCTCCCCATTGTGGTTTTACATACACGTTTTTTAATAGACGTTACACGCATGGATAGTGCATTATAAAATGTTGGCTTGCAAGTACATGCAAAAGGAGGTGGAAGGGAGGTTATATGTATGTATGTGTATACACGGTGGGATGGCAGCTTACCGTACTCGTTGGGTATGATGTCGGGGTCGATGTCGTCGACCGCCTGCTTGGTCTGCGGATGCACCGGAGTGGTGGAGCCGGCGTTGGCCGGCTCGCACGCGATGGCATGCTTTGGACTTCCGGCGAGACCGTTCGAGTGCTTCCTGTATATGCTGGCCGATATTTTGGCGACCAGCAGGGCCAGGATTATCGCCACCCCCACCAATCCAAGCAGCAACGGGTTGATCGCCGTGGCGTCTGCGTTTTCTGCGCAATCCAAAAGAAACAAAAAAACATCAGATTTCCAAGTTGGAGGACAAAGCCTTTTCTCGAATGGGTGCGGATAAAAAGAAGAGCCCAAGAGCTCAACGAGCCGTCTAATACCAGTATATATACGTGTATAGCGGATGAAGGCCGTACTCGGAGCAAATTACACGCTCATCTTTGTCGATTTATCAGTGAATAATAGAGGACGTCCTCCCAATATGACCCAGGAGCTACCTATCGCATTCCCTCTTTCTCGTCCTCGATATTGCGCGTCGCTATCGGCTTAATCCATCGTTGCCGGGTATTGGTGCTCCCCGTATATACCGCGCGTACGTCGTTCGCGCGCCCGGACAATGCCAGCGGTGTGCATATATGTATCTAGGGTCCACCGCCACTATACCGTTACGTGTGGCTTAATGAGCGGGGCAATAATTAACGAAGGTATGTCTATTACTCGGGCGTGTACTGTTCTGAACACAGCATCCATGGACCTGCCCGATTTTGGCGTCCAACGAGGGGAGGCCGACCCCAGCATCAAGTGTCGGGGAGTCTGAATTAGCAATGAACAGGAGTGGGCGCAAAAGTGTTTTGTGCGGTTAATTATTGAAAGGTAAAAAGAGTCACGCGCTCCCCCTCGGGCGTCTCTTTAATTTTACAAGATTAACGCGCAAACGCGTGTTACTTTATAACCAAGGTGTATGTAAACGTGTACTTTTTGTTTTGTTTTTATTGTTTTCGGTTCAAAGGGCAGTCATCTTTTATTTACAGCTTTAAAGTTTTCATACTTTTGCTCGACCATCCCCCTGGACGGAAAGATCCTTCGTTTGAACGCGATTCAGTTATGGCTTATGCTACATGAATGGGTACGTCAAAGTTTTGTTCATTGGCTCCAAACCGTGCAGCGCTTCCATAATCAGATGAGCAAACAAAACACACACTCGACGCGTACTGCAGCGAAGCAGCACATATATATATATATATATAGAGAGAGAGAGAGAGAGAGAGAGAGAGAGAGAGAGAGAGAGAGAGAGAGAGAGAGAGAGAGAGAGGAGACAATAGTAATTGCATCGAGCTCTCAAGTCCATCAGGCGTCTTGTTCCTCACTCGCTCGGAGAAAGGTCCTGCACGGGTAGGTGCGTAGCTCGAGGCAAGACAGGAGGTGGCCCTTAAGTGCTCGCTGCGAGAGGATGCACGCGCAGCGTCGGGACCTCGGAGAGCGTGCAAATGGCGCTCGAGGCGGTCAGCTAGATGTCCTTCCCTTGTATAACGGTCCAAGGAAGGAGGGAACTGGTTTAGATGGACGAGCCAAGGAAATAATTGGGCTCGAGGGTGGTTTTTGCTTGTGGTCACGTGAGAGAATCTTGGATTCAATTGAACGCGCCTAATGACCTCTTTCTCCCTCGTCCGTTGGACGAACGGGATACATTCAGGGTACAGTTGGTCGCGAGCTTGACTTTACTATTAAACGGAGCAGGACAGGGGCTGCCGTGTGAGTGGGAAGGCGCGAGAAAAAAGCAGGACAGATGAGAGAGGGGAAAAAGGCTCTCTTTTGCTTTCTTGTTTCGCGTTGCAGTGGCGGCTCCGTAGTTAAACTTTCATGGAACTTTGATGGCCGGCTTGGGGAGAGCAAAGCAATTTAAAGTCGAGTGTCGCCGCCCGTAAAGCTCCGGGGTAGCGCCGTTTGCGCTGCTTTAGCTTCTTTACGGAAGCGCGAAATGCCATAGTCTTGCTAAACCGAGCGAGGGATGGAAAATACGGGGAATCGAGGGATGCTGGATTTTTGCTTGGGTAAATACACGGATATTCCGAGCTCAATCAATGGTATCGCTATGAGTACCATTGCGCATATTACAGTAGTTATTTTAATAACAACAGAATCTTTATGCTGCACCAGACTGTAAAACAAAACAAAAAAAAATTTGTAAGAAAAAAAATGGTTTGTCTCAATAGAAAAAGCAATGTCATAAAATTTACAAAGTGTCAATTTTATTTTTCTTAAAATGTTTATCAATATTACTGTAATGCAATTTATAAAAAATATTCATTATTACACGCTATAAATCTGCAATTTAACACACTCGGATTTAATGTATAGAGTTGTGGAGTGACCTATATGGTCTTTTGTCTGTTGTTGAGCTCGGAAACTGCGTTTGAAAAAAGTATTACACCAACTGAATTCGACTAGACAATTTTCATTCGATCAAATGATTCACAAAAAAAAGTAATTTACAAAATAAAAAAAAAATAAAAAAACTTTATTACCATTCGAAGAGATAAAGCTAAATAAAAATTCGAAAACCAGTTACAACCAAGTTTCATTGAAAAATGCTCATTTTAATTAACAATAGGTACATCGATCGCCGAATTTTTTGAAATTAAACACCAAAGTTTCCAACCCCGGGAATAACAGGCTGTGCTTCCTCCAGTTGTGATTATTCCGCCACGTATATCCGCAGCACCGCTTGCGACCGACGCAAACGGATAATCAAGGCAAATGCGAGTATTTCCGGTTTTTGGCAAAATTAAATAGCCCGAAAGCCCCTGTAACCAGCTCGCTAAATGGGCTCGTAAACGAAAAATTTCACCACCACTTGCAATTTTTGCAAAATCGATCCATATACAGACACGACGCGTGTATATAGGCGATTTTTCAATTTTATCCGCGTCAAATGAACACCCTGTGGTCTTCATTAAACTGAGTGAGGAAAAAAAAAAAGAAGAAGAAGAAGAAGAAAAAAGTTAAAACTCCTAGGCATGTAACGGCCACTGCAACACCCGACACGCACACGCGGCGCGGAATTACATACACGTGACGCCAGCGCGGTCCGGCGCAATTTGCCCTAAATCAAAGCGATTCCGCGGAAAGCCGAAACCAATTTTCGTAAGAATTGCATTCTAAAACCATTTGCACGCTCACCCGCTAAGCTCGGCCACACTGTATGGTGCAGTGTACCTACACACAGAGCGAGAAATATCGAACGCGAGAGCGCGCTTTGTGCTCTTCGTTGCGGTGTGCGCGGAAGGTGGTTTGTTTGCCACGTGAATGCGGCTGTGGCTAAAAATTGCCCTCCGCGTAATGGGGCCCGAGTGTCCCGCTGAGGATACGAGTTGGGTCGTTTCTGGGTATTACGTTTATTTGTCACTGGAAAAAATGTGCCCGAAAGTTCTCTGCTTATGGTCGGTCAATGAACTCGCGTTGGCTTTTACCCCCCCCCCTTTTGTCTATGCTCACTTTTTCATATTAATTTTTTCTTCCCAAACGACGAATGAAAAATTCTTCTTTGAGGACTATACTTGGAAAATTGGAAAAAAATTTACAACTATGTGTAGGATGTACAACTAAATTCAATAAACATTACTTCATCACGAATGAAGAGAGTTTTGCTATTCATACCTATTTGGTTTAGGTAGGTACTCGTTGTGCTTTTTCTTTTTTAATAAAAGTAAGAAAGATAACGTACATCTGGTACGACAAAGAGGTGGTTTCGGTTCTTGATTCGTTGTGAGGATTGTCCGTGGCATTAAATTTCTCAAGTGGCCCTCATTTGAAAAATTAGGCCAAGAACAGAAGGAAAAGTTTCATTCCTTATTCGTTATTCGCAGCAGGAGTCGTTTCAAAGTAAAAGGACAAGGAAAATTTTGTCTACGTGACTGGTGGGCTCCAGCCTTCGTCATGCCTTAAATTTGCTAATGGATTAATCCGAACCAGAAAACAGCTTTTTTTTTTGCTTACTCATTAGTATTATTTGTTTCTTTTCTTCGATCCTCGACTTCTCTATACGTACCTATTATTAAATAATACCACAGCTCACCACATCCAACACCCATTTCATTCAATTACAAAACATCAGCGTCATTCCGTAGCAATAAATTCATCAGCGTTTGTTTGTCAGTCACCAACGTGTACTTTCGCTTCGTAAAAATAACTCGAGATCAATAAATATACGAACCGGCGGGAACGAGAAGTATATATATGTGTATGTAATACAAAGCACGTAATATGGCCGACGCCGATATTTCATTTTGCTCCTTGGGAGTGTATATACCTACTTCCCTCCTTTGCTTCCTCGACCTTTCGATATTTAGAGAAGAACAAACATCGGCAAAGGAAGAGAGGGCAAGGACCTCCGTCGTCATCGCAGCTCGTGATTTTCAATATCCCCGAGACTGAAAAAAAAGGGGGGGGGGGAGATAGAGAGCCAATACTACCTACGGCTGCTTATTGCTTCCTGCGAATATACGAGCGTACAATAAGTTCCCGGCGCCTCGTGCGTCCTCGTAACAACTAGGCACTTTGGCAAATATATGATCGTAGAAAAGGGAGCCGAGGAAGATGAGGAGGGGTGATGGCTCATAAGGTGGTTCGAAGCCTATGACTTTGAGGCGACGGTATTACTCGCTTGATGACGATACCTATTCAAGTGTGTACGTACGTCTTAAGCTCCATTGTGGTGGACAATAGGAAAAAAGTACCATTCTCAACACAGGACCGTATAATTAAACGTATAGCTATGTAGCTAGCGATTTTTGGTACAGATTAAGCGCGGTTACCGAAATGAAATCCCCAGCTAAGGTTTGCCGTATGGATATTTTTTTTTTTTGCATCGTACGGACGTACCAATAATTACATCACTTTGGCCATTTTTTTTCTGTTTACCATTAATATGAAACAAAGCAGCCTTTGTCCTGGCCATTTGCTCCATTTCTCGAGCACGCAATATTCAGGCTGCATGGGTATCGATTTTCATACATGATATACAACGTTGCTTCCGTTAAAAACTTGAATTTGAGGAGCAAACAAAAATTTCACCCTCAAAGGGCTCCATATAAAAGTGTACAGGAAAAATCACAACTATAAAGTAAAAATCTATAACGATGGGAGATCCAATTCCCCCATCGACGCTCTTCTCGGTCTCATCCTTGTGTTATCCACATGGCTGTACGAATTATCGCTTTTTCTTTCCCTTACAGCATTTCTATCTACACTATTCCCCATCGGGGTACCATTATTCTCGCTCCCGACCCTCGATGCATTTTCTCCCGTAAAATCTTCAAAATTGGGCTAACGCTCGCGAATAAGAGTACATTGTATGTATATACACCAGGTGAAACCCACGCAGTAGCCCTTCCTAATAAGTCGCGTTGTTTTGAGTAAGTTGTAGGGTAGGTACACATATTGACTCTCTCACACGCCACAATCGCCACACTCGTTACCACCGTTTACCTCCATGCACGCGCCGTCAATGACTTTCCATTAAACGTACACATATACGTGTATCCCTTCAAAGTTCATTACGCAACGTTGGCCTGCGAAGCGAATTTTCGCGCAGAAGCGACTCGGCCCTTTGGGGGTTGCTGCATCTCGCAATACGTACGGTGCGAACAATAGCCCCCCGTTTATGTTATTATCGCGAGATGAGGGGAGGAGCGTATGGCTTTCGAGGAGGGGGGGGGCACGTGAAACAAGGAGTTTGCAGTACACTACATCACGTTGTGCGTACTGGTGTAAGGGGGGGGGGGCAGCAACGTTGCAGCTATTTTCGAGCGCCCTTGCCTATCCGCGTGGCGCAGTGCGTGTGTATATATACTTACACGCCGCGGTGGCTCTCTAAATATTTACCTTAGGCTTTTCAATTGTGGCTGCCTGGTAATTTATAGATCAACGTGCACAACTGTGACACATATGGGTATACACGTATATATTATATGGGTGGTCGACGATCGCCTTTGTACTCCACTGCGACGGTATACACGCAATACAAATAGGGATGATGGAGCGCGACTATTTAGGTGCTCATACCCTCTCCCCCTCCGTTTCTTTGGGTCCCGACTTTTGCTTTTATTCGCTCGATTTTGTCGTCTGCGTGTTATTTGGTACATACCCATGAGGTAGGAAAATGCACATATCTGCGAAAGAGAGAGGTATGGTGATTGAAGGAGGGAGACGGGGGTCACGATATAACGAGAAATCCCTACGAGTTTTGGTAGTGCCTTGCGAGTCTTCTTTATTAAATACATGGTAAAACGGAGGGGTGCTATCGTTTTGTTCGATTTCATGCCCGATAAATTGTTATCTTTTTTTTATATGTATACCGATGCTGTCACTAGTTATACCAAGTCTTCAAATTCAGTTATTTTAAATTGTTTGTGATATCGGGTGAGTGTATATTTTACGAGGCTCGAAATAAAATATTGATCAATCAATACGTGGAAAATCCGTACGACGCACGTGAACCAGGTCGCGTGACTTTGCGACCGATTATACACACGAAATCTACGCGGCTGAGTGTTATTGATGGCTTAATTTATTAATGCAAGATCGAGTGTATCGTTTGGTTAATGCCTAAAATGAAGTAGCGGAAAAACCGCTGGAAAGAACAAATGTGGCGATCTAGTATTTTTGTTTTTTGTAGGACACACGGTGAAATATGAGATATGACTGTTTTAATCTCGTTTCACGGGAAGGGGTAATTTTTACCCTTCAAGTGCATGGATATGTATTTTTTTTTTTTTTTTTTTTTTTTAAGTTTCAGCATTAAAAAGTACTTTATTAAATCTACATATTTACCAGAGTTTTCATCTTGATCATAAAGGAAATGTCCTGACGAGCGAAAGTATCCGATAAAATAAAGTATTGTGAAATGATAAAAAGCAACCCCCAGTATTAGAGCCACATCCAAAAACCGATTTTTTTTTAATACATTGGTTAATCCACCCAGGGTGGAGTAAAAACCCCACGAAATTTCAAAACCATTGACAATTGGATCGACGAAACCTGAGGGTCTTTTAAGGACGCGCTACAAACGCTCTCGCAGTTTTGCGGCAGACGCAGCCGACCGAACACGAGGGATATCCGAGAGGACGAAAGGGGGGCAGGGAAACGACCAACAGCAGTAGCACCTACACGGAAAGGAGAGTGCCCGTTGATTGAGAGTAATCTGTTTTGTTAATTGCAAACTCCGGCGAGAGCTGGGCCTCGATATCCGCGGTCGAATCCCTCCTATTCGGTCTCCCCCTCTCTTTCACCCCTGCACACATATACTCCCCCCTCTCCCATAAACATGCCCACACCCACAGAGAGGAGGTTGAGCTACTCCATGCCATCACGGGAGGCCGGCTGCGCTCGGTTAACCGACTAATTGCAATACTGACGCGACTACTATCCACGGCTAGATACACCGGCTGTTTGCGCGATCACCATCACGTGCAGTTGCGCCTATACACGCGGACATTCAGGCAGGACGGTATAGTTTGCCACCTATATGTGAACCTAGGTATAGGTACGCCATGGCACGGGGCCGTCAAAGGCATGAGCCACCAGACGCTTCTTCGGTATCGCGTGGCTCCTTTGGCACCACACGCGCCCCGTTAACGCTCTCGCTTGTCCTTTAAGGATGTGGTGGGAAGTCGCGCTCCGTGGTACCTAATGAACGTTCGGACGGAGAGGCTCGTGCGAGGGGCTACGCACTCTGAAGTCTTTTGGTGACTTACGAGATCCTTGAAAGACTTAGAATGACTTATGAAATCTTTTTTAATGACTTTAAGCTACATGCACTCTTCAAGTCCTGGTAAAAAAGTCCAAAGTCTTTTGGAAACTTTGGAAATCTTTGAAAGACTTGGAATGACTTACAAAGTTTTTTTGAATGACTTCAAGAGGGCGCAGCCCCTCGGGCTCGTGGGGCTCGAAAATAGTATGAAATCGTCGTATGGAGTACACCAATTTGACATATTATTATGAATTCATTTGCCAGCGGTGAGGTGTTGGCACAAGGGAATGTACAACTCACCGGTGGTGTACATGGCGGCACCCTTGAGGGTGACCGGCTCGAGTACGGTGGCTTCGCTCCTGCCCTTGGCGTTGACCGCGTACAGGAAGAGCTTGTAGTTCCGGCCGGCGGTGAGGCCGGCTACCCTTATCGTGGGTCCACCGGCACCGGAGGTGGCGAGGACCGTCTTGTTGAGGATCAGTTCCGAGCCCTCCTCCTCGTCGCTCACCACTTCCACGAAATAGTGCTGAATGGGCAGACCGCCGTCGTAGCCCTCGATGCAACGCACCAGTAGACCCGTAGCTGATGTTGCCCCGGTGCCGCTCGCCGATGCGGGTTTCACCAGCCCCGGGTTTTCCAGCTCCGTTGCCTGCGACATCTCGGTCGCCGTGCAGTTGTGCAGGGCGTACGGTCGGCCGGCTGCTATTACCTGTTTCGGGATTAGTTGGACATTTATAAGGGTTGGACGCTGTTTCACAAACTTTTCGTGTAAAGAGTATAATATAGACTGATATTAAGCTCCGCAGTGAAAAGATAATCCAAATTGTATTATTTTCCTTCATCTGCGGCCAAGAAGGGTGCAATAATAAAATGCATATTAGTTTGGCATATTTTTGAAACAATAGGGGGTATAGCGTTTAGATGCAGCATCTTTTTTCAATGATTACAGGCATAAAAAAAAACGGATATCAAATCGAGACCGTGACCTAATTTGGTACAACATCACGTGAACATCCATAAGGATTGATAGTTTCCAAAGAGCTGAATGTATTTCGGGAATGCAACACAGTTTTCAGTGATAAAACAAGTTTGGTTTTTTACTACTTTTCGACCAAACAAACGTTAAAAATAAGACCACTCGATCCACAGATGCCAGGGCATGAACGTGATCCCAACTGACATTAAACTTGACAAGGTGCAATTAAGCGTATCGCGTTTCGGGAGTAACGCGAAGAAAAAAAAAAAAAAAAAACACGACTTCAAAAACACCGTCGATCCTCTATATATATATATATACATACACATACGTACAGTACAACTGCAAGCGCATATATACATGCACGAAGAGCCCAGAGTCCGACTCGTAAATAACGTTAATTAAATCATCGTGGCGCTATTTTTGAGAATAGAAAGACAAAAAAAAGAGAGAGAGAGAGAAGGGCCTTTGGATGATTTGGATAATTAAGTAAGTATACAAGCGTGCTCGCGGCTGCTGTTGAGCGCTCGTATAAATAAACCACTGACGCCTGCCGTGCGTTTGGGAGATATTCCATAAATTAAGAGCCCCAGCAGAGTTGAAAAAGGAGAGAGATGGATACAAGTGAGTAATCACGCGCGTGCTACTCCGAGGAGGAGGGGGAATCTTATCCGAGCACGCGCCAGGCGGTAAATCTATAATAAGAAGAAGAATGGGGGAGGAGAAGGAGGAGGAGGATGGGGTAGAAGACGCGAGGAGGTCGAAAGGAGGAAAAAAAGAGATGTGGATTACCTGAAAGAGGCAGGGCGAGCCTTGCTTGCCCACTTGATTGCTGGCCCAGCAGGCGACGGTCCCGTACTCCATTTCCGTCGTGGGCGTGTAGTTCATCAGTGCCCCGCGAAATTGCTGGTACTCCCTTAAGTGGTTGTCCGTCTGATGCTGCTGTTGGTGGGACGTGGCTGAGGCTGGTGGAGTCGCGGGCGGTGCTCCGGTCGCCGTCGCGTGGTGAGAGTACCGAAGCTGGGGCACCTCGATCGGCTCGCCCGAATTGTTGAAGGTCCAGTGGAACGTCTCCGGGGGTGGGTGAGACTCGACCGAACAGATGAGCGTCACTGTTTCCAGCTTCAGGGCACCTACCACCACCTCGCTCTTGCCCTCTTTGCACACCGGTGCGTCTGCAACACCATTTTTATTTCCACGTGTATTCTAAGCTTGATACGAAACTATCCTCGATAAACGATATAAATTGGTTAGAAAAAGTCAGGGAAGGCGTTGGCCCTTTTTCGACCACAAAATAATAAAAGGGCCAGTCCCTGCGAGCCAAAAATATTTATTCTGAGCTGAAAATTTTCGTTACACCAAAATACGAAAGTTCTTGAGACGCGTCAAAAGTATTGAAAATCTTACATATGGTCGAAATCGATGGTGCACTGTTAAGGAATACAGATTCATACAATATTGAAAGTTTGCAGCGATTTTAAATTAGTAAAAATTAAATTTACAATAATAATGTACGAAATAAGTGTTCCGTCGGTTCGGTATGGAATATACATCTATAATAGCCGCGTCGGTCCATAATTCGAGGAAGAAAGACTTTGCTTCCGTGCCACACATCCGCACTTGTACATGTACAGCAAGAGATGAGGAGGGAAAGAGAAAGAGACAGTTTTCACACCAATTAGTCGAGACAGGATCGAGTCTCCCCCTGCCTGAGTTGATGAGAGGGAGGGGGGAGAGTCGTGACCAGCGCCGACGCATCAGAACTAATAACCTTTTGTTTTAAGTAATGAGGTCACTCTACGTCTGGCTCTCTTGGGACTCACCGTAGTAATTCGTGCTTATAGTTTTTCTATGACCTCGTGTTTTGCTCACGTAGATTACGTTTAACTAACGCCGTGCTTTCTTGTGTGCTCTTTCTCAATCTCGCTTTCTGATCGATACGCCGCGGTATATTCACGTGTTCGCGACCGCGACGCACCAGCGTCCTCGTGGACACACCGAAGTGATCCGTGCCGCACGCGATCAGTGGCCCAGCCACCCACGACACCGTCGCTCTCGCATCAGCGCGAACGACCAGGCGCCGACCACCAAGTCAGCGACGCGCTGTCAACGAGCAGCTCTGAGTTGCATTCACACATACACACACGTTGGCTCAAATCTTTGTATTGTATTTTTTTGTTCTCAGTTTATTCAGTGTATCATTTAACGTTCGTAATATTTAATTTAATTCAGTGCATTTAATCCGGATTGTATTTGTTTTTATTTCATTAATAAATTGGGTTTTTTTATGCCTCCCGGCTTTTTTCCCTAAGTGTAGTTTTTTTTTCTTTATCCTCTTCCCATAAAACATAACTACGAAGCCTAGTCAAACCGACAAGGTTTCGAGCGTACAATANTGCCTCCCGGCTTTTTTCCCTAAGTGTAGTTTTTTTTTCTTTATCCTCTTCCCATAAAACATAACTACGAAGCCTAGTCAAACCGACAAGGTTTCGAGCGTACAATAAGATTTACATAATAAAAAAAATCTTTCATTTAAGGTAAAATTGTGTTAAATTTCGAAACAACTTGTTTAGCAGAGAGAACACAGAGTCTCCCTTTTTTTTTTTATAACACTTTGAAGTAAGTAAAAGCCCCAGCAAGTTGGCGTGTCGCAACGTACATGCACGTGTACGTACACATGCAACACGGGCCCACACAAGTTATCGAAAAGTTCTCAAGCGGTTGGAAAATTCGATATCTAAAAAAGTCGAGCGACAATTTAAGTGAAAGTCTTAGAGAAGGATTTAAAAGTTCTGAATGCTTTTTGGTCTCCCTCCGTACTTTTATCCCCCCCCCCTTCCTTCCGCCACCCCACACTCTCTTTTCGCGGAAGGGTCTTTGGAAATTTTTAATTCATCGTACTCACTCGCGATAAAATTCACCATTGATATATATCCCCCCCCTCTCGAAAACTCACGTGCACGCGATCGAAACTTTCAGCGATGAAATTCTATTGAAAAACTGACGCGAGACTCGAACAGAGAAAAATCACTGCAGCTCTTTTTTTTTTTTTTTTTTTTTCTCTCAAAAATCCAAGTCAAGTCGAAGCAATATGGTCGTATCGGCATCCCAAAAGAGATCGAAAAAGGAGCCACCTCCCACACACCTTTGCATCGAATCTGCATGACTCCCCGGAGAACGCTTGGACCACTTTGTCCAGCACCCAAGAGTCCAAAGTTACACACATATCCATGTATACACATTGGGGGGGTGCCTTGCAAGAGTCCCGAACGTGAGGCGCCACTGGCGATTTATAGGCTAGATACCAAGGCGACACTGTCTTGCGGTGTCATGGGGGGGGGGGGGTGTGCTTGCGGGCGACCGATTTCAATTCAATTGCCGGGGCTGCATTCGATTAACGAGCAAATGGACGCGTCTCTTGGGACCGTGGATTATTCTGTTTCGGATCCTCGGACAGCATCCGCTACAGTATGTATGCACGCGTATAGTTTACAAGACCATGAGAGAGAGAGAGAGTCGAGGAGCAAGAGAAAGATCCCTGATCACTCGAGTAAGGGGAGACGGGGGTGGGTTGGGGTAAGAGAGACACTTGTCACAAGTAGAGGCGTCGTTTCGGTAACTCACCTAATGGAGCGAAACTCACCCCCCCCCCCTCTCTCTCTACCCTCTGGCTCCCTTTGCCCGAGTTGACGCGCCACTTAGCATTTCACTCGAGCAAGTCGTCGTCTTCGGGAGAGATATACTGGGGGGGCAAAAGTTCTTTTCCCGAGCGTAAAGTTGCTCAGGAGGTGCCAATCAAAGTACCATATCGAGTCTCAATTCCATTGTACACAGGAAGAGCCCGGAGTGTTGAATATCGCGCCACGTGGTTTGTCCATCCATGTTACATGTATTTTATAGCTATACGTAGAGAGAGAGAGAGAGGGGCCCGTGGTGTGGCTTAGCGCATTGCCAGGCAACCGACCGTACATGAATATGCAGCCGTGCGCGCTTTACATACATTGAATATGCATCGCGCGTGGGCTCTCCTTCCTTTTCACCCCGCACACCCCGAACTCTCTGCTCTTGGGTCATTTACGAGATGAAGATACGACGAGTTGGAAGGAGACCGGCCGGGAGAAAAGTCGCGCCGAAGGAGGAAACTGACTGATTTAATACAATGCAGCTCCCCCTTCCCCCACCCCCTGTCTTCGTTGCACATGATTTTTTTCACTTTCACTCAACGAGAGATCGATCAAACTCTTTTGTTATGTGTATACGATTGAAACATACGCGACCGCGTAAATCGGTAAACAATCAACTTTGTGATACACAATGTGCGTGTCGCGAAGAAACTGTACAGGTTGATATTGCAAATGCCCATCCGAATTCAGAGTCAAAGGGGAAAAAAAAAAAAAAAATCAAGCCGATTGGATTTTATTAGCTCGAGCGACGCCGAGAGCCATACGTTAGTCGATCGATATCGGTGTCGCCGTCGTCGTGTAAGAAAATACATATCGCTAATTACGCGCGATGCAGGCCGCGCAAACTCGATTATCCGAAGATAGCGTCCTTAATAAGTCCCTATAACCCCGTACGTATATATACATACCGATCTTAAGGCCAGGGTGGTGTAGCATGTAGATGCACAGGTAAAAGCAGAGCACCATATATCGTATACGGGGAGAAATCTCGTTGAGCTTTTAAGGAAAAGCCGATCGAGGAGGAAGGGGCGTGTTTGGCAGGTTGACAAATTAGCAATTACTCACACTTGACGCGCAGAGGGACGGGGTTGCTCGAAGCTCCGCCCTCGGTGTTGACGGCCGTGCAGGTGTACTCGCCAGCCGAGCCACGGCTTATGCCTTGCAGGACGAGCGAGTGGTCGCTCCTCACTATGCCCAGGGTCGCGTTGTTCCTCAGCTCTTTGCCCTGAAAATTCGACCAAGTATATCGGTTAGTTGCACAATATATCATATAGGTAATCATTAGAGAAACCGGAGCATCATACTCACGTCCTTGAACCAGGAAAGCTTGTAGATCTTGGGATTGGCGCGAACGTCGCACTCAAAGTATACGTCGTCACCCTCCTTTATGTCGTCGGGGTTGAGGGAGGGGCCCATTTTGAGGCTCACCAGGGGCTGATGGTGCACGTCGAGGTGCCACTTGTCCTCAAGCGCGCTGTTGGTGATGTTGGGGTTTTCGGCGCGGCACGTCAGGTAGGCCCCGTTGTCCTTGATGCTTGGCACGAAGCTCAGTATGCTCAGGCTCTGATTGTTGCCCGGCGTGTACTGCGAGAGAGAGAGAGAGAGAAAATACCAGTGAGACGAGGCACGTGATTTTATTTTGCACACGTATGCACCGACCAGCTCTCCATATGTATATGTAGTTGGGTACACATCGGTATTTACGAACGACTCGACCAACTGGATTAAATTGATTCCCGGCAAATGCAATCGAGCAGCGCTGGTAGCCCGGAACTCTTTTTTACCCCCCTCCCTTACCAGCTTACTCTGGCTGCTTTAAAGTGGATGGCTCGAGTCAATATTCCTTCGATAGTGTACCTTGATATTTTTGCTCGAGTGCCGCACTGCACGGCACGCGAGTGCTCTCGTGGCGTTAGCCGGGATCGAAAATCTTTGGGTGCTATTTTCAAAGTCGCGATAACTCCAATGGCTTACTCTATACTTTTTCCGCTCTGGCAAACTTTCGGGTACAAAAAATAAAAAAATAGTTCATTAGACTTAAAAAAAAAAAATTTTAAGTAGTGTAGGCACTTGTGCCTTGCAATACACCGATATTGCGTTCGTCTCTCCGCTGAAAAAAAAAAATCGTACGTCCACTGTTGACGGTGCAACGTGCTGTCGCGAATACACAAACAGGTGGACAGGTCCCTGTTTTTCGCGATCCATGAAAAAAAAAAAAAAAAAAAAAAAAAAAAAAAAAAAAAAAAAAAAAAAAAAAAAAAAAAAAAAAAAAAAAAAAAAAAAAAAAAAAAAAAAAAAAAAAAGAAAAGTAGTATACATACGTGCACAGAAAAGAGTCGAAGAGGAAATCAACGAAAAACAAACAGTAGCGGGGGAGAGAGTATACATGAGGAAAAGGCTGAAAGGTTAATGATGTAAACGGCCGTCGATACCCCGGCAAACAGCTCCGATTGCAAAGGCGATCGGTCGCTCTGACCCAAGGACCGACTCTCACGTAAACGTTGGGAAAAAAAAAAAAAAAAAAAATTGGCAGAGCAGGCAAAAGTCAACAGAAGCCGAGAGTAACATGTAGCTACGTCACATTACATATATTATATACAGACGTGCACGAAGCAGTACATAAAGGCAGTCCCTGTGGGCCTCCACGAGCGATTCGTTTGTCCATCCGTCCGTCGTCCACGCGTTTGTGTACAGGTATATATATATATATACACTCTCTGCGCTGCACCGAACCAACCGGAGACACACGCGCGTGCAGCTGCCGTCCAATCATTTGATGGAGCGTTCCGCGGTGCGGCGTCGAATTCGAGTCACACGCTCGAGCTTGCATATCTTTTTTTTTTTATTTCACTTTCCGGGCAACGCACTGCCCACGGAAGCATTTTCTCCTCTGATTGTAAGAGCCTTCGCCTACGAATAGTAATGGGCGCAGTGGAAGGGGGTTTTTGTGCGGACCCCCGAAATGCAAATCGGAGCGAGAAATATCGCGATGCGCGATGAAAATGACGATTTTTCGTTGTATCCGTGCACGCGCGAGGATACGCGTGCGCTGAATGGAGATCGTCGGGTCGGAATGTTTATTACAGAAATGTGTAAACAAAAAAAAAATAAACCGAGCTTTTAGTAAGCGTGACCGGGGGTTTTTTTTTCTCAACGAGAATTTTAATCTTTGGTGGGAAAAAAAAGTTAGTTTCGCCGTTGATTAAATCGGGGGAAAAAGGGAGCAACGAGGGGGGATTTGGATATTTTTTCCCAAATACTCGGCTCCGGATAGTCAGAAATTTTCACTCGGTGCATGGCTTGATTATGGAAATTTTATTCTGCGAAAGATAAGCGGGTTAATATCACCGGCTTTGGGAGAAAAAAAAAACTGATCAGCACAGGGAGATAGCGGGACAATGACTGAGCTGCAAGTTTTTTTCTCCACTCTTTTTGGCTCGACTATCTGATCGTTGGAATGGTTACAAGTACGGAGCTAATAAACTGACAAAAATTACCGATCATTTAGATAATGTTTCAATAATTGAGTACCACTTGAAATTTAAAAGACAAAAAGGGGTGTATTATAGTTAGAAGCAAATACCGGATTTTCTACCCCAAATGATAGTAATTGGCAAAAATAATCAAAGAGGTGCGTGTATCGCCACAGGGCGTGTTATACGTACGAACGGCGTACGGTGTACGATAGTACGCGCTCGAGTAGGTATACGTATCATCCTTTGACGGCTCGTACCTAGCCTGATGAGGTCGAGTTGAAGGCTTGCCGCTGCATCGCTGTACCTGTCAAGTACATTAGCGTAGCAAAATCGATCCTCCCTCTCTCGGTGTAGTTTCTGTCTCTTTCGTTAGCGAGGATCGAGGGGGCTGTGTGGAGCTCTAACGAAGGTAACGCGAACGTAAAATTCACAGTCGAGCTGGCTGTAATTAACTCGATGCCGTTTAGCATGGCACCCTCGACTTTCCTCTCTCGCTCTACCGTATTACCACCACCACTGCTACTACTACTATTACTACTTTCACTCGCATAATGAAGTAGTCGACAAGAGAGATTTTTAATTAAAAAAAAAAAAAAAAAAAATGTAATCACTCTTCCGTGAAATACGCATCCGATTTGAATCATCCCATCAAATTGTCGGAGGTAATTTATAACTGCTTTATTTTCGGTACCCCAACCCCCCCACATTAGTCCAACAGAGGAATTGAACGGTGTTGGTCGGTTGGGTGAGCTTGAAAAGGCTTTTTGGTTGTACATTCACCAAAACCACCCACTTTGAAAATTAAAGAAAATTAAAAAAAAAAAAAAAAAAATCGAAAAAACAAGAAAGGAAAAACTCACAGTTTCGGTTTGGTTGTCGATTCGCTTGTTGGCCTTCCACCAGGTGATCACAGCTGCAGGCCTCGAGCCCGTGCTGCGGCACTCGACCTTGTACTTTTTGTCAGCTTTCACCGACATCTCTTTCGTCAATATGTGCACGTCCAGCGGCTTCACTGGAAAAAGAAAATAACAACAACATCACCCGAGTGTTTGTAGAACAAATAGCAACTGATTCCAGCGAAATGCGCAATCGAGAGCCGCTCGATCGGCCTCAAAGTCCTCTCCGAACCACGGCTGGCGAACGATGAATCTTCATTATTTAATTTGACTTGTATATCCCCCCGGTGCTACCCGTTATGGTGCAGCAACATATTTATATATATATATATATATATATACGCAGATCACGGACGCGCGGAGCACGTTATCGCGCACCATCGGGAGGATCCAGGGGGTGTCTCGTGCAAACTCACGTGCGTGACGCGCACCGCGAGGGCTGTCACGAGCGCCAGTCCGTCTATTTATGGTACACGCGTGCCCCTCCCGCTTTCCCTACAATGTATATAATATAACCCACTCGAGCTCGCAATCTCACAGTAAATCTCGCCTCGAGTCGCTTTGATTTCGATTTCTGGCGCTTTATTTATACTCCATCTCATCAACTCCTTTGATCCGAGTTTTTAGTTTTCCCCGTGATTTTGTTCGCCCTTCCTCCTTTTGAAAATACCTATATATACAGAAAACCGGCTCTCTTCTCCTACTTTTTTTTATCAAAAAGTGGGTAAAAGAAAAAAGCACGATACAAAAAAAAGTTTCTAGCACACGAAAGTATTTACCTGTGATACACGTAAGTATTTCCGGGAAAACCTAGTTAAACACGTATTGAGCGAAGGTGTTTAGCGTAACTCTGTATAAGGTGGGGGTGGGGGTGAGGGTGCATTGGCGCTGTAGCGGTCGATTACCTCGGAGCGCCGATCGGTATAAGCCTAGTGCCAACACTAGCTATGTATACTGAATTAAGTATATGAAATACCCGGAGAAGAAGTTTTCTGGCTTGAGCGAAGCTCTTGGACGCGTGGCGGTGCTCGATCGATGGAAGCACTTGAAAAATCAAGCGAGCTGTAGATTAATCAAACGGCGAATGATTGCCGAAGACGCTGAGCTTCCGTTCTTTTGTTGCCTTTGATGCTGAATTTTTTTTTTTTTTTTCCTTTCTTTTTTTATTTTTGCTTTCTCAAAGAGTTACCTTATTCGCGTTAAGAGTTATTGTATCTAGACTGGAAATAAAATGTAAAAAGTTTGAACGCGAAAAAAAAAATAAGCGAAAGGCACGTCTGCAGCAAGAATCAAAAGGATTTTTCTTTTCTCAATAGACTTTTAAAAGTATTATAGCTGTTGCAATTCTTACTCGTATACGATAAAACAACGGTCTGAATGTAATTTCGAATGTACTTGACGTCTAATGAGTTACATAAACCATTTTCCGTCAAAAAGCTACCTTAGAATTAGACTACACATTATGTATATCAGCGCCCAAGCACACACAATATCTTTTTACTCCTACCCTCCGTGATACCCCTCCTTTAATATCACAAACGTAGCTCACATTCACACACCCAAACTCAGGGATTCGTATACATGCTATGAGCAATCACGACAAATATTAATTATTCAATTACCGCTTGACGGGATATAAAAGAGTTGTCACTGTGCGCGCTCGTAAAACGCTTCTTATTATCATCCCCCGATACAATACATGAGCTTAGCGCACATACCCACGAGACTACAGAAGCAGAGAAGGACAGAAAGCGAGAGACGTCGACGATTGCAACAGTAGAGTCTTGATATACTCGTACGATTGTCTGTAGCACGGCATCCATAGTAGGTAGGTACGTACAAAGGTACCTCGAGCTCTTGCTGGCCCATCAGTATATATACTTACGCATTCATCGGGAATACGTATAGGCAGTATAAGAAAGGAATAAGGCAACGGTGCGGCTTCGCGTGTCGACGAGCCTTGATTGCCGCAATCACTGGTATTTTAACGGCTTTACAGAGGCCCCAGCAGCGGGGACCAGCCCCACCTGGCAATGCCCTTTTTATACCAGCCATCGGGTATTCGCTGCTACTGTTGATGTTGGTGTACAAAGCTATGTATACGTATTTACTTGTATGTATATTACATACACAGCCACACTCTGAGCGACTGCTCGATTAACTCCTTCGTGTTGAGCCAATCTCACGTGGCCCGCAAGCAAAGAATAAGGGAATTCACAATCCGTACTTACCTGTAGGATCAAGTTCCTGACGGGCCGTGCTTGGAACTTGCATGGTGCATCTTGGCGAGGGAAATTGGTTTCACGTAACGAGCTGGTGCTTTTTTTTTTTTTTCACCTACCCGAAATCTCCTCAGAAAAAAAGAAAAATTCTCCACAGCTCTGTTAAAAAACGTCCCCCACCCTCCACTGGTCTCAAGCTCGCAGTAGAAAAACTTTTTTCTGCAAAAAAAGCCACCTTCGTATTACCTCTCCCCAGGCGCCCCTTCTCTCGCCAATCTCACTAAAACAATCACGACGAGCGTCAACCTCCCGGGAAGATTAAATTTTTTCCCGACCCACGCTCCAATTTGCCCCCGAGACTGTAATATTTTCTTAAACACCACCACCGCCCACCGAGGGCCCCCTTTAAACTCCGTTAGCGAGAAACTCCCTTCTAAAGTTCAAAGTCCCAAGTGGGCGATGGCTGCTGGAACTGTACCGTTGGCACCTATATGTGTATGTATGCACCTACCCTCTAAATTTCGTCCCGAGTTTCGCGATCGTTAAAGGACAGCAGTCGAGGAGGCGTGTACGGAACGGTTTATGATGTATACTGTATAGGTGACCCTCTACGGAGTACAAGTGTACATCCTCTGAGGCTTTACGAGCTGCCAGGGTTTTACGTCGGATCGAAGCCGCGAATAGCCGTTGGTTGGACGTGTCCCCTCACCTCGTTAACACCGAAACGGGTACTTTTTGACGCGATCGAGGAATTTGGTACGAAAAGTAACTTGGCCGCTGTTTCTTCTTTCGAATGTTCGAGACGAAAGAAATTACCCCTATAAGTTTCGATCGAGTATATATACGTACGAAATGTCGTTTCAAGCTTCGATAGACGCACGAATCTGAGCCAAGGCCAATCGTCGGGCTCTGAAAAGGACCGTGGAGGAAGAAGGAAAAAAAAAAAGAGGGCAAAAGTTGGATTCTAATTGCGCAACCACTCGGAAGGGTCTCCGCGCGTTGTCACTNAGAAAATTGTTTTTCGTTGCAAGTACGCTTGGAGTGTATCATTTTTATTTCAACTTTCGTCTGTTTCGACTGATAGATTTTTTTTTTTTTTTTTCCCTCCGACCCGTAACTAATGAACACTAACGATTTTTCTGTAATGCCTGTAATCCTTCATCCTAAAAAAAAAGACCGCGATTTTCCGATTTCGTAAAATTAATTACACCGATGGTATGGAAGCGCTTGCGCTATCGGCAATACCTACGTGTATACAGGCTACTCGACAACCAACAAAAAAATAAAAGCACCAAAATCGGCCGGTAATCGAACGACTGCCGTGCGAACCAGTTCCGACCGATTGGCCGGTTATTGGTCCCATCAGATTTTTTTTTTTTTTTTTTTTCATCCCCCTCCCAAGTCGACTAAGCTCTACTAGGGCCAGCAGAGAGAGAGAACGCGTTGATTTATTGGTGCGACGCCTCCCTGTTTTCGGCCTCTCTCTCGCCGTCCGTCTGTGTTAGTTGGCCTCTGATGCCGGTCGGGCGATCGATTTTGGTTAGGCCACGAGCGTCGGCTACTGCACGGCTACGTCGTCTCTCACATTCGTGCCCAGCCGCATGTGCATTTATATTGGCGTTAACAAATTATTACCGGCAGATATTCGGCGGCGCGGTGTATGTATCACCGGCCGCCACCCCCTAATAGTCATTTTCCCTTTTACTTAGCGTGTACGGCCGCTGAGCTCGTTTGCATAATTATATTCGTCGCATGTGACGTCCTGCGCGTGGGCGTGGGCCTCGGAAAAATACGGAAAAAGTGTTATTGTTCGTTGCGCGTTTTTTCAGGCCTCGCGCGGAAACACTCGGGCTCCTGATGGCACGCGCGCTCGTGACATCTCTCATTTGAACTTTTTTCTTTCTTTTTTTTCCACCCAAAAAATACGAGAATCATGTGTGTATGAGTGTATTTTTTTTTTACAGGTTGTGTTCCAAAAATGCGTGTATTTTTTCGAGGGCCATTAAGGAACGAGGGATATAAATTAGTGCTGGACGTGGTAGTTTTAATACGTGCAGTGACTGCTACTGCGGTTGTTATTGTTATTTTTTTTTTACGTTTCGAGGGTGCAGCTTTTATTAAAAAAAAAAATAACAATAAACACGCTGATGTGTAGTATGCCTGTATCTTATAATATTTGCTTCCGCCAAGGGTCAATTTTAATGACTAAACATCCAATATCCTGTACATGAAATTCTCAATTTGATTAATTCCAACTTTTTTGGATAGCCCTTTAATTAAGTGGTTTACTTTATTATATGCGAAAAAAATTGTAAAGAGCAAACAATTAGTGTTAATTTAATTTTTTTTTTTTTTTTTTTCAGTTGGTCCATTTATTCGAGCAAAATACGCCATTATCTAGAAAACAACGTAAACTTTCGAGAAAAAACTTATGCACTCGATAAAATCGCATAAAAAGTTTTTTGTACGAAAAAATATCGGTTACACGCATGAAACATTTTTAAAATGCGCTTTTAAAAAACCTCGTTAAAAAGCTGTCTCTGTGAAAAAGTAGAAACAGAATAATCGCAAAGAGAACGAAACACGTATTGTTCGTCACCCCGGAAATCTCATTAAAAAGCAATCTGCGCGATTTCCGCCTAATAGCGTAAAATGAAAGTAAAGTAAGCGCCACCCCCGCGCAATCCATGGAGAGTCGAGTACTTTTAATGTTGTTTTTTATTTTTTTATTTTAAAGCTCGTAAAAAAAAAAAAAAATGCTTTGCATTACAAAGAGCCGTGGTCGTATAGAGCGTAGCCGAGCCTCTTATCTTCTCTGCTCGATCTCAGCTGCGGCAAACACGATTCGACGCGTAATACTTTGAGCAAAATCACACGTGTGCCCCCTAATAATATTATTTATTTTTATATCTCGATTCAGCTAACGCGCACGGCTCCAATTTCTCGACGTCGATGAAAAACAAAAGTCTGCAACGAAAACAAGTGTGCATGGTAAAGTTGCAAAAGTATACAACGAGTGTTCCAAAAATGATAGCCAACGCGAAACAGAAGAGAGAAAAAAAAAAAGAATAGGGCAGCAAAGGGGTTGGAAACTTTTCTCACGTCGCGTGGACTGTTCACGACAGGTTCGCGGAAAACTACCGGCTTACTTGTGTAAGCCAGCCGAGAGCCGTCCACGTGTAAGAAAGTAATCGTAGAAATTGATTGTACACAGCGTCGCGTCGAGCCCCTCCCCACGTCTCTCACCCGATGCCCAATGCAAAAAACCCCCCCGTGGCGTGTCAGTGTGCACTTGTAAAGGTACACCTCGAGCTGCCGTGCGCGGCTGGCTGGGTGGCGTCTGCGAAACACAAAATCGAAAAACAGTAGTACAGAGGGTAAGTGCGAGCCTAATACGCGCGACACGCGATACTCTGATCCGTCTTCGGAGAGGCATTACCCTTATCCCTCGGCTATCGCGCGAGTACCTCCCTGTAAAACCCCAAGTGGAAGAAAATGACCACCCTCGAGTGTCCACGCTTTGGCTAACGCTATGGCCGAAGGTCCCAATTCTCATTCCACCGTCTTAATGTATACTCTAGAGGTGTTTGTAATACCCAGTGTCGCTGTTGTCACCTAGGACGGGGTGAGCAAGAGAAGACAGCTGGTACTACACCATGTGGATGCAACAATATATACGTACGTGAAAGGCACGTGTCATACAATGTGGGCCGAAGGAAACTGTCACGCGTCCGCGGGAGACGTCGAGCATTATCGCGATCTCCGGGACTGACTTGCTCCCTTTCTCTGGCGCTTCGAGCTTTATATGTGCAGCATATATACATGGTAAGCTCGCACCTACGGGAGTATACGCGTTAGGTAATTCTTGGCTTTCCTGCAGACCGGAACGCCACCCCTTCTTCTTCTTCTTCTTCTTCTTCTTCCCCCTTCTTATTTTCTATGCAAGCTCGGGACGGTGGCAGCTTGAGAACACCTCCCGCTGGATTTGATTTAATTTCTCGCTCGCTCGCTCCGTTTCACGTTTCCGGGTGTTCCTCCCTCGCGTGACGCCCCCATGTGTGTATAAATACATACACGCGTACACACCTACATTTTATGCATATACATATATATAGATGGATACACGTGTAATTTGTACTTGGAGCGTAAGAAGGAAGCGCCGAAATTGGTATTATGTAAAGTCGCGTGATGTACGTATATTTTATTTTTCCTACCCCGTGGAGTGTAAGTGGGTGCATGTAATACGTACGCTTTCTCGTACCTATATAGACACACATGTTTTTTTTTTTTTTTTTTTTTTTTTTTCATTCTCAATCTCGCTCCCACATCACCTAGTATTTTGGATGTTATTTCGTTATTCGTCAGGTAAATTGCCTTCCTCCTTACTTTCGTTGTTAAAGCTTGAAAAAAAAAGAAAAAGATAAAGAAAATAGTACTCTCTTCGCGTTGCGATGTTTTTGATCGCGAATAAAGGGGTCGAAGGAACGAGGGAATTTCCAATTAACGCGGCCCCTGTAGTAACGTATACACGAGTGAGTTCAAAGTGACAAGCCGGCAAAAGTCTGGAAAGGCTCCGCCGGTCTTCTTTGGTAGCCAAACTCTGATGGGCCCGTGCGGTTCCCTCCCGCGGACGAGCAGAAAAAACTCGATTCACCCGTCAGCCCATAATAGAGTTTGGACGAGCCGACCCTGTCGAATCGACATCTCGCGTCTGGTAAAAATGTTCTCGCTCCCCCCAAAAGAATCGCACGAGTATTTTTTTTTCTTTTAAATTGTACGTAAGATATGTATACACTCACGATTGACGTCGAGAGTGACGTAGGCGCTCTGGGGCGTGCCGAGATTGGTGTTGCTGGCCTGGCAGATGAGCTGGGCGTTGCGGTGCTGCCGGTTTATACGCAAAAAGGACAAGTGATTCGTCGTTTCGCCACTCCCGGCTTTGTAATCGTACGAGTTGTCGATCACCGTGTTGTCCAGGAACCACACGAGCCTCGGCGCCGGTCGGCCACCCCTCGTCCGGCATATCAGCCGCAAATCGCTACCCTCGTTGTAGCTCTTGGCCTTGCTCTGGATCGGCTTCAGCGTGTCCCCGTCAATTATCTCCGGCTTACTCGGCGGCTCTGTAAATATACATATAATTAAACCATTTGCACCAATTGCCACGCAAATATTAAGTGTCCACTGGTTGGTTAACCAATCGAGGGTAGGGACTGTTCGTACCGATCACGGTTAAATTTATGGTCTGCTTGCTCGTCGGCCAGTTGAGAAAGTCCACTCGGCACCTGTACAACCCCTCGTCCTTGGACTTGAGGTCGTTGATGCTCAAGTGGGCGGGCTTCGTGGCTGTGCTGAAGTAAGCCCGACGGCCCAGCGCTTGTGGGGACGACCAGCGCGGCACGTCGTTGAACTGGCCCCTTCGTCGCGTGTCGAATCTGTAAAGGGTGGCGCGTTTACTTTCGCCTTTTTTCAGGATTACATTCATCCCTTACAGGGAAGTCTCTGATTGACATAATTAAAATCATTTATAAGCATCGGAGTCATCGTGTTTTGATAACAATGATTTCCATATGAATTAACCATTGTTATGTATAGTGATAGTTTTGAACTAGTTGCTAATAACATTATACGTTGATGATGCTACGAGGAAAATAAGTCAACTTACATGGTTGCTTGTGAATTTTTCATATGTGTGCCCACCTGCTTTGCTCAATTGTTCTTGTACGAGAAAACTATTACGTTGTACGATTCTAATAAATACTAATTTTTTTTTTTTTTTTTTTTACATTATAATTGGATAAAATCTAATACTTGAAATATGTCAAACATTAATGAAGATCAAACACATTGGTTGAAATGGAAATGTCATTGATTGCTCGTAGATGTTATTTTAATGATATTCCGACAGCTCATACATGATTCATACTTCACTGGTGATTGAACGAAAATCATAAATATTCGCTTCAATTTATTTTTCAAATATAAATGGCATTATATACTCATAATATGTTTACTATTTTAATTCCAACCAAGAGGCCATGAACACACCGAACGTACTTAAATATTGTAATTGGCTTTTAAAAATATCGTCACATGTTTCAAACGGTATCATAAATGTTTTATAGACCACTATTATTTTAATTAGGACATAATATATATATATGTCCATTTGTACGAGATGAAACCAAAATTATTCGTTATTAATCGAGTATAAAAATCGAAAGAAAGGAAAAGGCTAACGAAAGCACGTAGTACCATCGTCCCGACAGGGAGAAGACACGGGGAAACTGAAACGGAGCGTTATAGCCCGGCGTGCGATTCCCAGCAAACGATCGTCCCCCTCGGACGAATCAGACCTCGGCAAGGGAATACGAGTACAGCAGACACAGCGCGCCACGCGGGATAATAATCTCTTTGCGATGACGAAGAAGGAGAGTATCGCCGGCAGCAATATACAGAGGGTATATAATATATAGGCTAAAGCGAGCCACCAGGGGCCCATCAGCGCGCGTGATTGCATACAAAGCATCCAGCCGAGAGAGAGAGAGAGGGCGCGTTTGATCTAACAGGTGCAAAGAATGCGCCGTGGACGAAAAGAGAAAGTTTTACAAGAGGCGCTTCGAGGTGGATTCCTCCCCCCTCGCGAGCGAGCGACCGAAAGTTAAATTGCGTTCCAGGAGTGTGTACTCGCAGAGGGGGGAGGGGGTAGTTTGGATTTCCGGCTGCTCCCGCGACCAAGCACCATACTCCCCGAGCTCCGTACGGAAAAAGGGAGGCGACGACGTCATTGACGTTGAAATACGACTTAATCCTTCCACTTTGCACCCCCGCTCTGACTTTTCCTCTGTTGCTCGCGTTACAGGTTCAAATGACGATGGGCGGTGTCACCGATTCGGTCCACTTGACCGATCATTTTCTCATTCCGTATAATAATTGGCATTGTCGTATCAAGCAACTGCAATCGCTTACTTTTAAACCGGCACTGCGATCAATAACACCCCGGGGGTGCATAGGTATACTATACAATATATATATAGCGCTGCGCAAGTCAGTCACACACGTGTAAGGTACAAAAATATGCAGTAGCGAGTAATACACGCCATTAGGATTCTTCCTTGGGGCTTGGCAACTTTCTTGTAATGTTCTTGGATGGAGTGCCTGGCGCGAGGACGATAAGCCCCGGGAAATTCATCGGGCACTAAATAATTTGAGCGCGGAGGAAAGTTTGCCGTGTAAAAGGTCGCTGCGCGGCGGGGGCGTCATGTACCTCGTGCACCTTGTCGGAGTCGAGGTGGAAAATTTTTCGAGCGCGGGACACGAGATAAGGCGAAAGTCGAGGGGGTTTTAAGGAAGAAAGCGGGGGATAAGGGAGAGTCCGAAGTGAAAGAGGCAGCGATTAGATAGCGTCACAAGAAATCGCTGCATTTACATTGCACACGTGGACGGGAAATTAGAGCTCGGAGGTTGGCGTAACTACATACAGAGCACGTTACACGTGAGATGCGTATGAAACACGGCTTGTGGTATATTTATATTTTGGTACTGAACGCGTGTACGGAAGTCACTCTTTGTTGTTGTTGTTGTTGTTGAATGTCCAACGATAAGCGTCACTGTAATCCTGCAATCGAAAAAAATCGTCTGAACTGCGTACACCGTAGCACCATGCACGTGTAATATTACACGACAAACAATGTCACGACAAAATACCGGTGCATAAGCGTATACGTATATATGTAATACACCACACGAGCTTGTAATGGTAGATTCCCGTACGAATGACTGACATTAGCATAATTGCGGCAATAAGCGTATCCATTAAATTATATACGCATTCTATGGCCCCGGCTTTGATACGTACACGTGCCCCTTTTCTCTCTCGAGCGTACAGAGTACATACTAGATCTATGTATACGGTTTACGTACAAAGACGCGATGCGTATGTATATACATATAATATACGTGTATATCATAGCAGCTTTGAGTTTGTTATACCTTATGGCCATTATTATGCGAAAGTTGCAAGTGAGCCCCGGGTTTGCAAGGATAAATAAAACAAAGAGAGGAGAAATAATAAGACGAGAAGACACGGGGCTCGAGAAAGGGGGGAAGGGTATTATGGAACGGGGTTCCGTGCATAGCGGCGGTCGGCGTATCTTACACCTTATTACGTCTCTTAAGTAGCATCTACCTGTATAGCCCGCGATACGAGAGAGAGAGAGAGAGCTCCGTCGTCGGCGTTTTGTATGAAAATTTCACGATTCGCAAAGCGGAAACTCTGCCCCCCATCCGCGAGAGCACGACTTGGCGTTCGTATCTCGAAGAGCCGAGAGTGGAGTATGGAAGGGGTGTATGGTTAAAGTTTGCCCGAAGGCGACGCGGCGTCGGCGGCGCGCAGTAAAGGAATTTAAAGCGCGCGCACGGCTATCCGCGTCGTGGAACAAGTGGCTTTTAGTCCACGTGAATTGTGGGACTCTAGCCGCTGCTTATTGCCCGATAAGGGGCAATTTTGCGTTATAACGTTTCCGGGTATCTGTACACGCGGACTGGGAGTTTTTTTTCCAACCCTTTAGGGGTAATGTGCGTTTTAAAGTTGGGTATGAGATGCTGATGGGTGATTTTGTACTCAGTCGTGTCATTTGACGGTTCGGAAAATTAAATATTACTTGTCTTTAGTTGATACTTACGAATAAATTGGCTCGTTGCTCGATCCTTTGTACCAAACAACAATTAACGCCGTATCGCCCTCGAACTCGGGCTCCAAGTTGCAAGGCAATTGTACGCTGCCCTCGGCTACGCCTGAGACGCTGGTTACGTTACCTGAAACACAATGTGAACGGGTATAATTAATTTTAACGCTTCGTAGTAGATAGGGTTGAATAGTGTAAAGTAACATTATCATCATGAATAGTTTCGTAAAAGTATGCCAAGTGGAAAGTAATATCATTTTAAAAATAAGAATTTTTACAAAGCTTAGGCGTCTCTTAATGTAGCATCTTGTTATTTGTATTGGATTTAGTTTGCTTATTTTTAATGGTTACTTATTCATTGATGTTGCTATTTTACTTGTTGTTTTTTTTTTTGTATCTGAATCAGCAATATTCAGTGTTTAGTATTATTGAAACATAAAAAAAAATACAAAGAACGAAAGTACAAGGTATAAGTTTGTTTTGCAATGAAGATGATGATCTTTCCAGGTGCTACGAATTTAAAAAAAAAAAAAAAAGTACCAGTATTGGCTTGCATCTCTGTTTGAAACATTGGTAAGCGGATCACAACATACTTAAGCCTATTTTGTATCACAGGAATCCAGAAAATAAATGTTTATATACATATAACCATAACTTTAAAGGGGATTTATGTCTGCTGGCACAGTGCAATAACGTATTTTGCTAGAAAATACACCCTTGGAAAATGTCCTCTTGAGAAAAAGCAGGAAATATTCAAATTTTTGTCCAACACCGTAGAAAAAGCCTGTTATCGTAAGAAATACATTTTGTCCCGAGTCAAGAGAGAGCATTACAAAAAAAAAAAAAAAAAAAAAAAATGGAACGAAGAAAACCAGTTTGACAGAATGAAACGTTCCAACAATTAATACCTTCCATCCGAATTTTTAACGATGAAAAGTTTCGGGCGATAAGGGTATAAATCCAGCCATCACCTCTGACCCTCAACCCACCCATCTTTACTTCATCCAGCAAAGCTCCGTTTTATGCGCCATTCTCCTTTACTGCATAGATCACTGCTTCATCAGATTTACACGCCGATAGTTCGGGAGGAAGGAGGAGAGGTTGCGGGTGGCGGCGATTTAACGAATTTCGCGGTTCAACGTGCGACCAACTTTTCGCGCCCTTATCCCCCTCAAGCATAGGCTGGGGAAGAAAATTCCCGATTATCCGCGCGAGATGTGTAGAAAGAAGAAAGTGGGTGGAGTGTAGAAAGGAAGAAAGAAAAAAAGGGTATACGAGGGTGAGGGGGAGAGAAAAAAAAAAAAAGATAAGAGCGGAGGCAAGAAAGGGAAAGCCCCGACGACTGCACTCGTGGGAGGAAACCACTTTACTTCTAACAAATTACGCCGACCATACTACTAGCACCACTGCTGGTATTGTGATTGTGACCGAGTCTTTTTTTTTTTTTTTTTTTTTTACGTCCAATTCGATTAACTTTACGATTTCCGCGAAAGCTCGGCGATGCGGGTTTTTTTTTGTTTTCTCCCCCCCTTTTTTTTCTCTTTTTCATTTGCCCCGCTCAACTCATTAAATTCCCCCGTTTTTTTTTCGTTTTTTTTCTCTCCCCCGTTTGTTTTTTGTTCGACTTTTCGAGAATGAAATATTTCCAGCTTATTCGGCGGGGAGGTAAAAATTTTTCATCAAGTACCGTAAAAGCAGTGGAACTATTTTCCAGCGAATTTCCGTAAGTCGGTCGAATGAAAGAGAAAAAAGACAACTAGAACACGCACAGGTACTGCAAACTCATTTTTGAAACGCCCACGTGCATCTCTTTTCCGGGATTTTTGAAAGGGAGATTTTTACAAATAATCCTCTTTCGACTAATCCTCGATGAGGCTTAAAAATTCACAAGCTTGTTATCAAACCAGTGCTTCAACGAAAGCTGCAAAAAATGATTCCTGCATACGAGAAATCGCTCCATCGTAATCAGACATCCCTATGGTATTATTTTACATAAGGGTTTCATTGTTTCAAGAGCCAAAGAAAAAAAAAAAAAAAAAAAAAAAAAATTAATTAAAACGTAAGACTGATTCATCCACGAAAGCAGAGATTGGGAAAGCCAACGCCACAGATGTATACATCATGACGATTAATCAATAATTCCGTCGTCAACAAGAGTCACGCGCATAACGCCACGGGATTATAAAGGTGCGCGCGCCCGTGGAGATACTCGGGAACAATTTCATTTATCACGGGGAAAGAATGCGGGTTAAACTCGCTGGAAGTCCCCCCTCGCGGGTGCAGCTGCGCCTCCGTAAACTTTGCGGAGGCGCGCTATCTCATAGTGGCATCGCGAAAAGAGGGTTGGGGAGGGGCGAAAGAGGCACAGTCCGAAGGAACCCCGTGACTTTAAGGCAGTACAGTGGATTGGGGTGCTGGTGGTGGAGTAAGGAATAACTTGTGCATTGCAGGGCAAGGGGGTGGAATCGAATGGGGTTGGTTGTATTTTGAAGGCAAAGGAAGATAATAATAGATGCGCACAACTAAATAAGGTGGGTGATACCCTTTTGTTCACGGAAGAACATTGGATTGAATAATAATAGGTGTATATGTGAGTACCGGTGAAAGAAAACACGATATTTGCTTGTATGAGAAGGAAACTCTTATTAGGGGCGCTTATGAGAGTCTAGCAAACGGCACAGTTGTATTTTCAACAAAAATATCCATGTATGATATTGCGAGAGGAGTTACGGAAAATTTATGTGCCGTACAATTTTAATACTATTCAGCCGTACGTGTGTGTACATTCGAGCTTCGCAATATGAAAAGCTCTCCAAGGGCGTAGCACAGGATGAAATTACATGTTATCCTAAAGTAACGTTACTTTTACTTCCGGGACTTTGAGGGTTGGCTTCCTTCTTTTTTCTTCTTTTTTTTCTCTTCTTCAATCATAAAAGTAATCTGGTGAGTAAAAGAAACGCTGATGGTACGTTTCATCATCCAGTCCCTCGGAAGTGAGAAGACAAATTGTATAAATCAAAGTTATCGTTCTTAATTGCATTCCGTAAGTATCCATGAAAATTACTTGAGTAACCTCATCAACTAAGTTTTATAATCCCAGATCATAAGTAACTCGTCATCCGTGACTCTTTACTGTACTTTATCGTATGCTTTTTTCATCCCTTATGTCATTAATAAAAAAAAAATAAAAAAATAAGAAATCCTCATTAAAAAATACTCAAGGTGCACGAAAAAAAAATAAAGTCCCGAAACGTGGACGACTCATCTACTTATCGACTTTTAGCAGCTCCATCATCATCCAATACGAGCCTCGAGCTTCTTCTGTAGAGGAGTTGTCATTTAAAAATAAATACATCAGCCCTTTTTCTCTCTCATCCACCTCAAAGCCCTTTCCCCTCCCCAGTCCTTGCATGAAAATATCAAGGCTCAGTTCAGCTACGGATAGAATCCCTTCGCGAAAAATACACAGGGCTACGNAAAAAAAAAATAAAAAAATAAGAAATCCTCATTAAAAAATACTCAAGGTGCACGAAAAAAAAATAAAGTCCAACCGAAACGTGGACCAATCTACTTTCGATCGACTTTTAGCTTATCCATCATCCAATACGAGCCTACTCGAGCTTCTGTAGAGGAGTTGTCATTTAAAAATAAATACATCAGCCCTTTTTCTCTCTCATCCACCTCAAAGCCCTTTCCCCTCCCCAGTCCTTGCATGAAAATATCAAGGCTCAGTTCAGCTACGGATAGAATCCCTTCGCGAAAAATACACAGGGCTACGTGCCAACAAAGAGATGGGCGGAGGATCTCTCGTTAGTTATTTTATCAGCCATTCGACCCGGTGCGACTACGAAATAACATAGGGTGTCTTTTGCATCGAGAGCTCAATGGTACTGTTTTTTTTTTTTTTGTTTTTTCTGTTAGCGCCCGCTCGACCCGACATTCTTTTGTTTTCCGTATATATACACGGTTCAAAGAGAGAAGGGTAAAGAAAAAAAAAAAAAAAAACAAAGATAAACGGGGGACATTTCGAGACACAGGCACAACGCGAAATCGTTTCGTTTGCATAATTGCACCATCGAGAGCCCCCGCTAATTGAATTCTTTGAATTTTAATGCACCGCTTGTTCGGCTCCATTGAGCTGCGCTCTCTCTCTCTCTCTCTCTCTCTCTGTCGCGTACTTTATAGTTGTATGTACAGGTGTACGATTTTCACCCCCCCCCCCTCCCTAAGTAGAGTATATAGTATTTGAGGAATTCTAGCTGGCTATACCTACTGATGAATAATTCATTTTAGCCTTAAAAGTTTTCCGATCGCTCAGTTATGTAATTGAATCAAGTGCACCGAATAAAATATTGTATGGGAAATACATGTCTCTTGAGATTAAAAATGTAACGAATAACGTGTTTTGCTGCAGTTGACAAACTTGGGCAAACTGCGAGGTATATGGTTGCAAAGGAAGCGAAAGGAGATATCGGGAATAAAAAGCAACCCGATGAAACAAGAACGAGACGAAAGAGGGAGGAAATCATCGGCGTGATCGATAATAAATGTCTGGGTGTCTCCCTCGGCGTGTAACGAGAATTTTCTCGACGGTATTAAAAACGAAATCTCGAGAGCCGCTGATCGCCCCGACGGTCGCAGTTATAAGTATATATGTAAGGTACGCGTAATGAGAATACCGCTGCTCCGTCTTCGAGGCGAGGGATAAAAGATTTCCCAAGCGCAATATCGAAGCCGCAATATCTTAGGGGAAGTGAAAACAGCGACCGAGAGAGAAAGAGGCGAAGGGAAATAGATTTTCCTGCGAGGAGTCTCGGGGCATTTCTCGGCCCACAGATGCAGAGAGATAGAGAGATGAAAAGGGGTTGGCCCGGGGTGTACGCGGAAGGAGCGCAAAAGCCGGGTGGACAGGCGAACCAAGATTACCTCATCGTGCGGTATGTACAGTGACTAAGGGAGAGCGCGAATCACAAACGTCGTCTACTCTCCCGAGGAGACAATGAAGGACCAACGCTGTATATGGGTATACAAGCTGTGGAAAAACCTTGAAAAATGAATAAAAAAAAAAAAAAAAGGGAGAGGAGCTCCGTATATACACCTTAGAGGAGGCGCCGGGGAGAGGAGAGGAGCAGCATCCGGGACTTTATTNTATTGATAAAAAAAAAAAAAAAAAAAAAAAAAAAAGGGAGAGGAGCTCCGTATATACACCTTAGAGGAGGCGCCGGGGAGAGGAGAGGAGCAGCATCCGGGACTTTATTTACGAGTTCCCTCTCCGTCTATACTCCTTTTTCCCGCTTGCACGGCGCTCGACGGCAATTACAAGGCGATTTATCGCGATTACAAGCTTGCCGCGCGGCCGAGGGAGATGCACTGCGCGTACATGCCTCCTTCTTCGCGATGCTGCCTTCCCCGCAGGCTTCGGAAAGATCCTTGGCGTGTGCACTGCAGACAACTGGCTGTTCTTTCGCAACGGGGGGAGTACGGTTGATAATTATATCTCAGCCATCACCTGCTGGTTACCACGCGGATGGGACATGAAGGTTTGCACTGGTGCGCTAAACTGCTGGATAATCGACTAGTTACTCCTGTCCATGCGTTATACGGAACGAACAATGGACTCACGAGGGGGAAAAAAAAAATAGATAACGGAACGACTAGTGAATATCTCATTATTATCCCGGGTAGCTTTGAAACTGTACTGTCGCATCAGGTTGGCGAACGGTTATACGGGCTCATTATTGTACCCGTACCACCAATGAGAAGAAGGGGTGGGGAGGGCGATAACAGAGGGAGTTGAATGCAGTTATTAATCGTTAGCTCGCGTTTGGCGTTTGTCAGTGCCTCGTGTGTATTTAATCGTAGCGTTGCTCTTTGTTTGAATCGGCTGGGGGGCATCGATAAACGTTTATAATCGTACCTACTGTGTAGCTATCTTGTTTTTTCTTTTTTCTTTTTTTTTTCCTACAAAGTAAATATATGTAGCTGTAAAGGGA